AAACACTAGGAACCAGCATGCTCCAGCGGCAAAAATAAGAGCCGGAAAGACAAAAAGATAAAACCAGATATAAAACACCACTCGGCCAACATTCCAGTCTCCACGTCCAAACAATCGTCGCTTGGGATACAATAGCCCAGATTCGAGAGAGTCATTCAATGATGCGGTATCCGAGGCAGCGGAAGATGGCTCGCCATCATTAGGCTCGCCAGCAGAGCTCAATAAGTTATCGCTCTCGCTGATGGGCTCTAAGCTAGAAGAGGTAGCACGGCGCGAACGAGCAGCGTTACGACGCGACGAAGGACCAAAGAAAAGTCTCCCACGGTCATTTCCTGTCCGCCATTCTTCATACTCGCCCAAACTGCGACCCTCACCTTCGTCTTCCAGCGCATAACGACCATCCTGATCAAGCTGTACAAATTTTCCAAAGGGGAAAATCAAATAATTGGCGAGATCGTAGAAAGCGTGGCCGTATTCTCTCGCTGATCGGCTCCAAGGGAAAAAGCCGTAGCATACACTTGAGCCGAGCATAGTGACAAACCATAACGGCACGCCAAAAAGTAGCGAATAAAAATAATTACCAAACCAGACAACCCATGTGATTTTTTTGCCTGGGGCGGCATGGATATCGCCTTCAGCGATGCGCTGTACAGAACGAGATTTCTTGTAAAGAGCGGGCTTCCAGATACGGATACCAAACGGATGAGTCTCGTTGATGGCGTCTTGACGCTCGCGCAGTGTGAAGGACTCGATCGAAGCCGTGTCGGATGAATCGTCAAACTCATCATTGTCAGTTGTGTGAATTAGAGTACTACCAGAGTCATCGCCATCATCGTCTTCATTCTCGTCTTGCTCAGGAAAAGGAAAGCTGCCATCCTCTGGAGTGAGACTGTCGGACGGTTCATCCTCGAAATGTTGACGGCCACGGGGCGACACGCTACGGTCATGATGATGGTGGACTGTCAGATGAGACTCCAGTATTGGGGTAGATGTAGCGCCAAGCGAGGGGTCGTCATTGAAATGAACTTCAGCCAGAGAAGGTCGCTGTCTATTGCGTCTCCGAGAAAGTGGCTGCCTTGCGCGATTCGAAGACGTTGCACGATCGATATCCAGCTCCTGCTCGGCGTCTTCGACAGAGAACGACCGCGCAGCAGCTAACGATTTACGCGTGCTGCCGTGAGAGTCCATCTCGAAGAATTGCAAGCAAAGGTAGACACTGTCAGAACACGAGTTGTCAAATAATGAAATAAACAAGAGAAATAGGAAAAGTGACAGATGGCGAGTGGCGAGTGGGAAGAGAGAAGTGCCGCAGAAAATGACTGACTTGGGTAGAGATTGAGACTGATTGCGCGGCGTCGAAACTGGAACTTGTGGCATGCGAATGAATTGGATTAGCCCTTTTCCATTTCCTAGTTCTTGAGCCGCACCACCCTGGACAAGTGAGAGCAGGCACTACGAAATGTATCAGCCTATTGAACTGGTATTTGTTTGTTAAATAAAAAGGTGGTATCAATTAGGTCTCTGATGATACTGATAGAGGTACTACAGCCTGCTGTTTTTGGCTTGCTTAAAGTCAAGGTCTGATTCTAGATTCTAAGCATCTGAGATATTGCGTCATAGACTTCGTTAGCGAACATACTTATCAGTCACCAAGGAACCGGTTTAGTGATAAACAACATACCAGTAAACATTTCACAGCTACCGTCTTATTCCGTACTTTTTTTTAACTTTGTAAGATTCATCATTTTCGTCAGTCGATATCGATCATCTCAAAGATCCTTTAGTTTAGTCACCGATATATTAAGGTGCTACCAGTTCGTTTGGATCATGAATCAACGCTGTGCGACCAATTTTCATTGTTCAAAATGACAGCGGATATACATAGCTAAGAACGACAGTCAGTGTGCTCGATACGCATATACATATCTATAAATTAATTTAAGTTGAGCGAATAGACATCTACTGAAAATACAAGCGTCTACCTACGAATTCCATGTTCGCGATGCGACTGCCGAATTAATCTTAAATATATGCGTACCCAAATGTGTCATTAGCATACTAGTAGAAACGTTGAGTTTGTCAACCGGCACTGTGCTGGAAATAAGAAACTGAGTTTAGAAACTCTAGCGATAACGAATAATATATCTCTGATGGCCACATCCGTCTTTCTCAGCGTAAAGTAAAGAGCTAGTTGACTGTGTGCGTGTAATTTGTGTAGCTTCGAGCCAATCTACGATGCTATCGCCTTACTACTTTCTTTCAGTGTTAAATAATAGAGGAGATTTTTTTTTAACATGATTTAATTTTACAGAGTCAAACTTACTATTCTATAATTACAAGACAGAAATCGCGCCCGGCACCAAGGAAGCACCAGTAAAATATTGAAGGAAGCCAAGAGTGATACTTTGTCGAGAGAAAAATTCTTGACCAATGATAAAAATAATATCAATATATACCAGTTTGCAGCTCAAGAATAGCACACAAAATGCTCTGATAGTTATGGTACACGATTACAAAGACCTTTGCTACAAATCATGCAGCCTATATCTCAACGACATAAGCAGAAATGCTCCCTTCTAATGCCCAAGATTAGCAAGTGAAGGTGGACTCCCCCAATCGTTCGCGAGTGCTGACTCCTCAAAACCTTCATCTTGAACTTCAAGAAAGCTCTGTTCGCGGGATTCTTTGTCTCTAATCATACCCAAAAAGTTTTCCCATGTTGTGCTCAAGAAATCGGTTTCTTTATACCGCACCAAACTACCCTTCACACTCTTTAATGTGTTGCGGCCAAAGAGCTCCGTGATTCGCTGAATGCACTCACCTCGAACCTGCCAGTGAGTTGATTTCGAGGAAATACCACCGTCAAGACCAAAGTCATAAACCTCATCTGTGACAATGTGAAATGGTGGCTGTCCAGTAACGCCAGTCATCAGGAAGTTCATCGCAATATCCTCACAGTTAATGAGATCGTCGACATACTTCAATATATGATCAGGCAAGCCACAGCGCCACAAAAACAAAAAGTGCTCATCCATGAACATGAGTTTTGTGAGTATGATTGAATATCTTGGTGGAGTCATCTTGTATGCCCAACAGTACTTATATGCTTGCGTCTTTGGATCATAACACTCAACACGTGGAGCAAATCCGACAAGCGAGTCAGGCTGCCGCTGCCACGCTTCAAACGCTAGATCAATATCCTCCATAGGCGTCCACACATCGTCATCCGCAATAAGTACAGCGCCGGTTCGCAGTTCAGGTACAGGATTAAACCTATTGTTGAGCGAATCAACCGTCTGATTCAAAAGGAAAACAGTATCTTTGTGCTCATTCAGCAACTGCCTGATATTGCTAGAAACCTTCATGTTTTTGTTATGCCAGATTACAAAGATTTTGTCAACTCGTGGAGACATCAAAAACTGATTAATAACAAATGGTAGTGTTTCCTGTCGCTTTAAAGAATGCGTAGCTAGCAGCACACTATACTTATCCATTATTCTATCCGGCATGCTGACCTTATTCGCCAGATAATTCTCGCAGACATCCTTAGATCCGCGAACTTTTCGCCACTCTTGCAAGTCGTGGCTATCTAATTTTAGCTTGGTGCTGACTTCATACGACATTTGCTGCCATCGGAATATCATGTGCTCGTTGAAAGAGTTTCGCCAGTCTTTTGGCTCCTGATACCAAAAGCTCCACGGCTTCATTGTGCCCTCGTAATTATATATCCGCGCATTGCCGAAAATATAGCGGCTATAGTCAGTTCCAGCATACTTTGCCTTTACGTTGTATACCGGATTCAAAGGGTGAATATCTTTGAAAAAGTAGTTGAGGAATCCAACGTCGTGAGGCACGTGCCAGGTGTTGATCATCACTTTCTTCAGCTCTTTGTAAACTGGCATGCTAGGCTCTAAAAGCATGATTGATTCATCGATGATTCCTCCTAGTTCAAGTGTAGTTGTAAACGGCGGCTCTTGGAATATGTCGTCGACGTTTTGTAAAACAAGCATCTCTGAGCTCATATAAAGTACTCTGTCATATTCAATCAAGCGCCATGCTTGTATTGAATTGCTCTTGCACTGTCTTCTCTTCTTCGGATCAACTTCAGGCTTCAAATTACCTTCAGATTTAAGCAGTTCGTCTGCTTGCTCCTTATTCTCGAAACTCTCTTCATCTTTTGACTTCTGCGAGTCATCGATGGCAAGTTCGATCATGCTCGTATCAACCAGTTTAGCACCAAGATCGACCAATTCAGACCGGTTAGTATCAGAAATCGGCGACATAATCATCACAAGAATATCAGCCATTGTTCCAGTTTCTTGCAGAGAGTGTACCAGCACTCTAACCGGTGTGATCTAGAACACTTCATTAGCTGTCTTGATCTCCCTGCAAAGCTATCATCGAAAACTACCCACATCTTCCTCAAAGCAGATAGACGTCACATATGCTGCCTTTCCTGTAAAATTTGTCGAAGCGGAATTTTCTAATACTGTGACTTCTCGCTCTGGGCTAAACACAGCTTTTAATCGGTCGTCCATCATGTTCAACAGCGACTCCTTCGTAACGTATCGCTCACGCCATACGAAAAACCCAAGCACAGACAACACATTGATGGCAATCAAAAATACCATGCGCGGCCGCAGCGTACGCTTGATGCTGGGATGTCGAGCGATCCGCATTGTAAAGGCGTCACTGTTTTGCGAATATGGGTCACTATACCAAGACGGTTCTTCGTGCTGGTGCGCCTATTTCCATGTACTGCAAAATGGACGCAGGGGACTTGTTAAGGTTTCGCTCCTGGCGTCTTCGGTCGTGACTTCTCAACTACTTTGAATGAGACGCTCAATCACTGTATGATATTTAGATAATTTTTTAAAATTTTATGAAAGTGATGATCTTATTTATCATATAAATGAATTTATAAATGCGAAAAAAACAAATTTTGCTTGAAACTGTTTGCAGTTTATAGTGCCATCTAAACAAAATTTCAGTAGATTGATGGGAGCTTGGCCGAGTGGTCTATGGCGTCAGATTTAGGTTAGGATTCTTTCAAAGAATTTCGAATCTCTGATATCTTCGGATGCGCGAGTTCGAATCTCGTGGCTCTCACCATATTTTTAATTTCTGTGATAATGGTCGGAGTTTTTTTTATCTGCGATTAATTTTTAATAGTCTTTACCTATATTAATTAGTCTATATTAGAAATTCTCTTTTCAAGTCATCGATAGTGATGTCTATCTATAGCTGGAACCCTTCATGGACAACCCATGATTTTCCCTCTGGTACCTGTTCAATAACTTCACAGCTTTTTCCTGTAACCAATATTCCCGGAGGTCGACTACCCAAAATCTCAAATGCTTCGACTACGTGATCCAGCGTAGTTCTAATAACTCTTTGATCCGGACAACTGGCTCGCTCAATGATAGCACATGGGAAGTCCATTCTCCATCCAGCGTCATGAAGCCATCCGACAACGTCAGACAGACGATGAAGAGCCATTAAAAAGACTGTTGTGCGCGATTCAACAAATTCTGGGATGGCAGGTGCAGCACCTTTGCGCCCCGTACCAGTACATATGAGAACCTGATCTGTGACTTCGCGATGAGTTGGTGAAATTGCCGCAAACAGTGGTCCTGACAACGCACTCGTGATTCCAGGGATGACTGACGGTGTGTACCCATATTTCCTGAAAAATATGTATTCTTCTGCTCCTCGTCCAAAAATGTAAGGATCTCCTTGCTTTAATCGTACAACCGCTTTACCTTGTCGAAGCGCAGACAAACCCATAGCCAGCAACTCCTGTTGCGCAGCCTCAGCATTCCCGGGAAACTTTTTAGCAATATAGGTCTCGACGTGACGGGGAATTAAATCCAGAACCCCAGCAGGCACGAGTTTGTCTGCTAAAACAAGATCTGCAGTGGTAATTAAAGTGAGAGCTGCAGTAGTCAGTAAGCCTGCCGAGCCAGGGCCTGCACCGACGAGAGATATCCGTCCAGGTTTTGGAACAGCGGGAGAAAATTGAAGTTGGGACTCCGCGGCAAGATTTGGAAAATTGAATCGGTATTGCGAAGATAAATCATCAATGGAGAGATTTGCGAGCTCAGAGAATGGATAGTACTCTACCACTTGTGAAAGCCATCTCATCCGCTGTTTCTTTAATGCATCTCTGTTTTTAGCCAATTCTTCATTGGCTTCTTCCTCAAGAACTAATCTATTGAACTTTGAACTTTGGACAGCATCGTCGTCGTGCTGTCCAACTTCGTGATAGTATGTCTCCATATTGTGTTGAAGCTGAATATCGTCGCCGTCTTGTATGCTTTGCTTCAAATCTCCAATCTTTTCGCAAGCCATTGCAATGTCATTTGGTAATGAACTGGCAATTTCACGTCGAATTCGGCTTGCTAGACGGCAGCCTTTGCCTGATGTAGTGATTCCAATTTGCAAAGGTCCGTCTGTATGTGTAGAGAGTAAAGTAAATGTCGATAAACGCGGCGCATCAGCAACATTTACGGGTATCCGAAGTTTGCGACATAAGTTTGATATTCTTGTTCCTGGTTGCAGAGAGTCAGTTGAGTTGTGCGGTTATTAACTATATAGTCAACATACCTATTTCTGCAATACTTGGCGTAGCAACAAAGACAACGTCAACAATGCCATCCACTTCTTCCCGCCCTAGGGTGGTTAAGTCTTCGTCTTGAAACTCCCGTTGTATCCAAACTATTCTGCCTGAATATTCGTCTACTTTGCGCTGAACCTCCGAACTCCACGCCACATGTCCGTCTGGAGGGGCGACAAGGACAACTTTGGCTGCGTCGCACTCTATTGACTTTGAAACGCGAGACAACGACAGAGCAGAAGCACCTACAATGAGATGCGTCTCACCCTCGCTTTTATGCGAGATAAGCAGTCCCGGCATTTTTGTATTGTCAGCAGCGAAGAACTTATTAGCAAAATGGGAGTATAGAAGGAACTTATTCAATTTTTTCTTGCGCCACAGCAAACAAAACCTTACAGTTGAGCTTGTTTAGAGTTTGTGTTGTATGACGCGATTTAGAGATGCCGTAGCGAAGAACCCCTGAATTGTAGCCATTGGCAGCAGAATAATTACAATTTTACATATTTTACTAGTTCAATTGCTGCAAAATATATTCATAAAGGGTTTCTAGGCAGATAAGAGACTTATAATAAGTTCTCTAGAATCCCAAGTATGCGAGGTTAGACTACATGGTCCCCATTGTATAGCAATAGGAACCTCAGGATTGATGCTAGCTTTCTGAAAATTGCCGCTCTAGCATATCAAATATTCTGACGGATAAAATCTGGTCTTGTAAAATTTATATATAAAATATACTTTAGACTGTACTTAATGAATCGGTCAGAGCCTGGGTTTTTGTAGGAGAACGCAGTCTGTAAATCCTTACAAGAGAGGCGCGTGCGCGCAAACTCCCAACCTGATGAGCCTTATCAGGGGTTGGTACTCATTTGTTCCAAAAAGAGACCGGTGACGTCGTGGACCGGTGGAAGAAGCGACGATCAGTTCGGCATTCAGACATCGACCGTGTCTGACTGATCCTGATACGAGCCCAGCATTCTGTTGTCAATACTCAGCTTGTCCAGGACCAATATTTCTTTAATTATGCGTTTGCAAATTAATTGGGACGACTCAAACGACGCCTTTGCCGTCAAAGTCTACACTCACAATATCAGGTGTGATCTACCTCCTTTCAATTATTTTAGACCTTGGCATTAACCATTCGCGTATGTATAGATACGCAGCAGATCCTCAGGCAGAAGGTGAGGAGCCTTGGTCAATCAGGAAGACTCATGTCGCTTCCTCCATTTTGTTTAACACATTCAACACGTCCAGTCTTGTTCTCCTTCAAGAGGTCCTACATGATCAGCTGGCGGACATTTTGAATTTGCTCAATGAAAATACTCCCGGAGATGAGTGGATTTACTGCGGTGTTGGTCGAGACGATGGTGGTGTTAAAGGAGAATATGCCCCTATTATTTTTCGCAAGTCGCAATTTCAGGTAGTCTTGAATCGCACTTTCTGGTTGAGCGAGACCCCGGATATTCCCAGTAAAGGTTGGGATGCTGCCTCGATCCGGATTGTTAACGTGTCTCTCTTAATTCATCGTCAAACGGAGCGCCTGGCGTATGTTCTCAATACTCATCTGGATGACCAGGGTAAAGCGGCTCGTGAAGAGGGCGCGAAGCTTATAAATTCAATCATTGATAATTTGGAGGGTCATGACATTCTCATTCTTGCTGGTGATCTTAACTCGGAACCTGATCAAGAGGCATATCCTATTCTAACTAAAAAACTAAGAGATGCTAGTAAGATTGTAGCTACGAGCAATCTCATGAAATATGGAAACAGGCATACTTTCACTGGCTTCCAGAGCGGCGAGAAGAAGAAGACTATTGATTACATTTTTGTGTACAGCGATACATCTGTTACGAGCTATGGTGTCCTGGCCAACATCTTCGATGACGGAATCTACGCTAGTGACCATCGTCCTGTTGTCGCTAATATTGTAGTAGAAAAACGCGATAGCAAGTGAGAGAAGCTAATTAATAGTTCGACTCTCAGAAATACGTGAAAATGCATATGATACAATCAAGAGTATAATATATGATATCATGCCTTGCAGATATACTTGAAGACAAAGTATGAGGTAATTAGCGTGCGAGTAATAAGTAAACACAGGGTCACTTTGGGCTAACAACTATAAACAAATGAGACATGTGTAACTCCGTTCCAGTAAATTCAAATATCCCGAGATTAACCAAAGTCACGCTGCAGTTTTAGAGAGAGAACAGCACAATCACGCGTAACATCAAATAGCAAATTTAAAACATATAAAACGTGGCATATAAACCCCCCAAAAAAGTGATTGGAATTGTATTATATAGATGAGCAGTATTTACTTCACACCAGTGGCTACTTCACACCAGTGGCCCTTACCGAGCTATAAATCCAAATAAGACAAAGAAAATGCGAGGAAAATACATGGCTATCATGCAATGGCGCATTTGTTATTCGCATCAGGAGTTGGGTTATTGTGTTTCTCAATCTCTGCAATAAGAAGCTCAAAGACCTTGGATACGTTGGCATTATGTCTCGCGCTAGTCTCAATAAACGGGCAGTTGAACTCTTCAGCCAGAGTCTTAGCTTCCACTGTTTCTACCTTCCTAGATAATGACAAGTCATTAGAGAGACCCACTAAAGAATTGTACAAGGCTTTACCTTTGAGCACCAAGATCACTCTTGTTGCCAACAATAATCATAGGTATCGACTCGGTTCCCTATAGGTAGTACTGATTAACAAATTTTTTTTGGAGCGAACTGGAACATAACATACTGTGTTGTTTAAAATTTTGTCTCTAATAACACGGACCATCTCAAAAGAAGCCCTTGATGTAATAGAGTACATTATCACGTAACCGTGTACCCCGATAGAATGCTTTTGGTTCATAATGCTAAATTCGTCCTGTATGCGCCTGCGATCAGTATGGCTAATTCAGCTTTGAAAGGAAAAAACAATACATACCTGGCCTGCGGTATCAAGAATCTCAGTAGCATAGTCTTGACCTTTGTATCTTATAATTTTCGAAAACTGGTTTTCAATGGTGGGGTAGTAGCTTTCGACAAAGTGCTCTTCAACGAATTGGACGGTCATTGAAGACTTGCCTGTACAAATACATTAGAAATCAAGAAAATAAACTGAATTTCTGACTCTGGGACAGAACTTGTTTTAACATACCCACAGCCCTTGATCCGACGACGGCGATAGTGCGTGTCCGTGGAGGTGCCATTGCAGAGAGGAGATGCAGTTGGAGTTGGTAGTCAGGTTCGATAGTAAAATATTGAGTTTTGTCTAGGCCTCACCAGATCAGCTCAGTATAGCTGATAGTCAAAAGAACTAGTAAAGAATATTAACTGTAGACGTAATGTCTAGCGGCGAAGAAGAAGGATGTATAAAGAGCCAAGGCCATTCTTTGAGGCGCCGCGTTGAGCCGATCGCGGCCCACCCTGTGCCCTAGCCCTTAACATATCGCGCCCAAGTAGATCGAACTCGCTCAGTTTCGAGTCTTTCTGCACA